GAGATTCGCTAAAAGGTTATGTTGAAAAGAACTGAAACACGATGGGCGACACCGATGCAATCAAGCAAACCACTGGCAATTGATTTGCATTGTTTGCGTGTTTTAATATAATGGGGTAAACTTAAACGTTTTGGAGTCTATGACAAATTGATTTTTCACTTTTCTTTTTTACTGTCATTACAAAACAGCCATTTTACTCCTTTTGAAACATCTGTACGACTGTTCCTTCGTGTATGTACTAACCCATTCTGACAATGCGCTCAGGCTTCGCCTTCGTGCATTATGTGTATGGGTTAGTACATACACTCATGCTTTTATATTTCCAATACAGAATGATACATGATTCTTTATTCCTTAATTAATCGCACATGGTACATGGTGACTAAGAAACATGTACTCGTATCAATATTTCCATTTTTCATTTCGTCGGCTACAACCAGCATGATAGATAGCGTAGTTCCAGGCTGCGTTTTTGAACAACCCGCGGGCCAGTGCATTGTATAATATATAATAAGTATTCCCCCTGGGTATCATGAAAAGCACCATGAGACCATGCGTTGCAAATTACATCAGTGCTCATGGCGTTTTCAATAAAAGCAGTTCATTCAAGCGCACTTAAACCGCTAATTACGCTGTGGCAACCTTGTCGGCAGCTCGCGTGTGTCAACCACGCCGGCTTGTTGCTAGTGCACCACAGGAGTTCGATCGCAATAGACCGTGATGTCTTTCAAAGAATATATGTGAGTGTTCGTGCACTTGAATGAGCTTTTTTGTTGAAAATGCATGAGCATCTAATGAGCACTGCAGAGCTTATTGTTCTTTTTAGTGATCCTTGGGATGAACCTCATGAAAACATTACGCAATTCAATAGCAACGCGGGCAAACAAAAATACAGTGTTGATCATCGTTGCAAAGATTGATGGGGAATTGAATTGATAGGTAAACAATTGGTTTTAGATTTACAAGATCCTTGGAATTATTGAGCCACGCCGATTTAGTTGCGTAAATGTAGTATACATATTGGCAAAAATAAATATTTTAAGAAATCTTTCCCGGAAAATTTTTTCATCTTTATTAGATATCACATCTCTCACCTTTCTACCTTTCTAGTACCTTTCTAGTAGTTCCCATTCTAGAGACGGGTGAGTCTGTTTGATGTGTTCTCGTCGGGTGCCCTTTTCAAGGTTTGCCGTAATCTCAAAGTAAAGGGGTCTTGACATTAATCAAATGCAAATCGTTTAGGTAGGGTGTTTTTATCGACACAGAGATAGGAGATGCTCATCGTAACAAGCCACACCTTCTCCATCTTTGTCCTGCTTGATGCAATGAGATGCTATGTACATCAGAATGATAGTTGTTTAAAACGTTATTGCAAGCCAATTTTGAGATAATTTTTAGCTCATGTAGTTAGAGTTCCTGATAGTGGTATGTCCTCAACAATAACGCCAGAGTTTTTTTTCAAAAACACGCTGGTCAAAAAGTGAACCATTTGAGAAAAGATTATCGCAGTTACTACTCACACTATTACTAGAGAACTCATTTTCACACATTCAAGAAGAAAGACCCAGGGTTTGTTTAATTATGCCCATTTCAGTCAAAAGTGGGCTGAGTGGTATAAGGGTGATACGGCGCTGACTTTACCTTATTAGTCAATGGTGTACTCGATCTTTATCGTGTTCTCTCTGCCAAACCCCATGGTTTGCAATGATTACTTTAAGGCATCTCTACAGAAAATAATCTCATATCGAGGAAATGGATTGCTTGTGCAATTCAAGATCGAGAGCCATCTTCCTAAACGTTTTGCATGAGGAGGTTCCAGAGTGCTAATGATAAACAATGTTTTAGAAATCCGCCCACTTTGCTCTCTTTCGAGTTTAAAGGTGCAACATAACAATTAGTGAGGGGAGCCATTCAACGATCAGCGACCAGTGTCAAAATATATTTAAGTTTGGATATTTCATCAAGACTAACTATATTTTCATTATCTACAAAGAAACCTCCTGGATGAACATTATTTCAGCTGATATTCCTCTTGAAACGTGGTGGATCTTAAAAATCTAGAAGTGGGACTTCCTTTATAGAAGATTTGAACTGAATTTACACTTCTTAATGCTGAAATTGATAGTTTAGACATACATTTTAAGAAAATAGGTATGTCAAAGGAGGTATTAAGCCAAATATTGACCTGATAGCTCAGAAAAAATAAAAATAAAATTCGAATTTTCTATCTACAGTCCTTGTTGCCTCTTTAAATTCAACCTTGACGCGTTGGTTTTCAAACCAAAAAGGTAATTGATCCGATCGAGGATATGTATGGCATTATTTTTGCTTCTTTATTCATTAAATTCAAATATATTCCATATATGAAATATTTATATTCGCTAAATCATTTTTCCATTCGGTAAAAACGTTTATATGTTTGTTACAGCAAATTAAGTTTTCAAAATAGCCAATCACTAATACCATGTGCATTTGTTATGGTATTCCTTAGAGTAACACATTATATGCACAATATTGAATTTCTATTTGAACCCTACCGAAATAAGTTTGCTTATATTTACCAAATGGTTTATTTTTCTATGACATTGTTAATGCATTTTACCGAAAGCCGAATATAAATAATTTAAATACCGAATATACAAATAATTAATTGAATTATACGTGCGTCAAGGAAAACAAATTGATTCGCTGCATCACACAAATACATGTATGGTTACCACATGTATAAATATCAAATGTGAATGCCAACACAAAGAACAAGTGAAACTATTTAGCGAATATAAATTGTATAGATTATTACATTCGATAACATAAAAAAAACATTCGATAAATTGGGTAAAGGTTTGGTAAATTGTTTGTTTTATTTGGTATTTATGGAATATTTAATGTACCGAATAAAGAAGCAGTTTAAACACCATAGATATGAATATCCCCACTCGTTCACTGATCTCGCTTATGGCGATAGTCATATCAACTCAATGAAAAAACATGCCCGGCATATGGTATTCTCTAGATTAGGATGTCAAATGACATTTTGTTTACCACTCAAGAAGTTGGAGTATCAAGTAGAGTTTATCATGAAATAAAGTGTTTAGGGATGAACACTTTAACATCCAATAATAATCCAATAACATGTGCTAATGGATATTGGATACAATAGCGAGTCCATTTGACGCCTGTTCTAGCAGAAGACTTCATTTGAAGTATCTTGTCCAGTAAGTCTTTGAATGGCACATCAATTTCTTAGGAACTAGTTGAACAATACATTCAAGATATTACATTGTATACGATTAACGCATGTATTGTACAGTGGTACATGGATGACAGGATTAGGCCAGAATATTTCATAAGATCAATTAACTAATTACTTATGATACTTCAACTGAGAAGTGATTCCGATTTTCTTTGTGCTTGGATTAAACTGCATCTTGATTCACAAGGTGACAGTTGCTCCAACTTGTATCATAACACCTTGGAATTCGATCCAGGGCTCATCGACTATAGTATGAGACTTAGTGGCTTGAAAAAAGGTGTTCACAAATGCCTCAGTCACATTTGATCTACGGCAACTGTACGACGGCCGTAGCTTTCCAAAATAAGAGAAAACACAGCATTTTCTATATTGATTTTGTGAAGCCACGGCCATCGTATGGTACTGTATGTCCACCGCAGAGCAAATGTGGCTGAAGCGTAAGTAAACGACGAGTATACCTGACCTAGCTGAAACTGAGTTACTAATTAGACAAACAACTTTTACTTGGTATCACCGGTATTTTATTCTTGTTCAGCTATATGTATTGGTATTGAAGTGAGATTATGACAAATCATGCAATATCCAAAATAAATACAATATATTCCCTATTATTATAAAGCATCAAATCTCGTATTACAAATCCCATCTAATTTTGGCATTTTAATTATCATAGTCAATACGAATACAAATGACACGAAATGCTATCCCGTATGATATACGTAGAAACTAATATTAGACATTTTCGTTGACACACTTATATTATAATCGAGTCCAGATATTAATAACAGAAGTGTTACGATATAAAGTGTGAACGCTATACGGCCATCTCTTCGATCCAGTAGACCACCTCAGTCACCCTCGTGTATATACCTGGCCTCTTTGGGACGGCACAGCCGAATCCCCAGCTAGTGATGCCCACAAGGGTCCAAGAATTGCCAGTCTGGCACACAAGAGGACCACCGGAATCTCCCTGTAAGTAAAATAGTTGCTCGTGTGACGTAAGTAGTAGGCTAAAAGAGGGTAAAGCATACAGTGTTACCATTGTTAGATTCTGGGTGGTTCATGTATCATATGGTAATCCATAATGCAAGGAGAGTGTCTCTTCTACAGATAGATAATTCTGATACTCATCACATCTTTCTGTTTCACTAAAACAAAACATCTCAGGACAAAAGAAATGAGATCCCATGGTTTGGTTTATCATGATCATGATGCAGAAAGATTGATACAAAAGATAAATGTCTGAACGTTGAACCCAGGTTGAACGGTTCTCAAGTAAAACATAAGTAGAATTCAAATTCTTGGTCTCAATTTCTTTTTTTGTTAAACTCTCATGAAATTAGGTTTAAGGTTGACTCTCCCAACCTTGTACATAGTGTATGTGAGGTGTATAAAATTATCAATGGAGTTTACCGAGCAAGCATCCAGTCCTCCTTCTTCATAGCCAGCACACAGCATTCTATCAGTGATGGGTCCGTCATAATGGTCATCATCGTTGCACACAGCGTTATCATAGAGAGGCACTTCGATCTCGTTTAACGTGTCTGGGTCACCTGTACCTAAACAAACAAATACAAGATAAATACTTTTTAATGGGCGTTGTAAACTGTTATTTTAGTTAGTCTTGTTCTGTCACGCTACTATAGAGCTCTTGGGTTCAGTCCATTATTAACGTATTCAGGACGAGTGAGACGCTCACGCTAATTGTAACGATAATGAGAGAGACGTCGATTCCGCTGATTAAGCTTTAATGAAACAATGCTTGCTGTACCTGCATTTGGAGTAGCTCCATAATTGATTCCACTTTGTCAAATACTTTTTCTAGCACTCTAAACCAATATTTGATGGCTTACATTGACATTGATGCGAGCGTTTCAAATGTATATAATTTACTGTGATGGTGGAATGCATACCTAAAGTGTCGCCCCATCCAGTGACCATGCATTTTGTACCAGGTTCAAATACATCATCGCGGCCCGGGAGGCACACACTGTTGATTCCAGTGCTGAAGCGGATGGGGGATGTGAGTTTCACAACAGCGACGTCATAGTCCCATGGATAACCACTGATGTAGTTGTGGTGGATAATTATCTCAGCGACACCTATTGTGACTTCTGTACCATCGTCCCTCTCTCTGTGATGCTCCCCTAAACGCACTTGCCAAGGACGCGGGTCCTGGTACCTAGAAACATTTTAGGTGGGGGTTTGGTTGATTAGTTGCTTCGAATTTGGTTAGTTTGGATTCTCAATTTTGAGAGGTGTTTTATACGCCATTGTCTAGCTACTGCTGTAGTACATACCATTACAGTAGTATATATCATTTTTGTATAGCTACATGGTGTCTTGAATGAAAATTGACATTATAGTAAAGTAAAACTTTAATACAAAGGACAGCTGCATTGTTTTAATTTTCCTGTTGTGTCTGTAGACACAATACTATTGTCACCTTATCTGAACTAAAGATTGATTAATTAGTAAAGTAATGGGTGGATAGGATAACCATTTCCAATAGTTTGATTTTTGCTTTATCTACTCATATACTACTGTAGGCTCTGGTCCTCAAGGTAGGGCCTTGTAAGTGTTCACGTATTTAAGGCTTCGGCACTGGACGCACTTATTCGTTTGCAATATACACTATCACTTGGGGATAATGTGGTCTGAAATGTGAAGTGGCTGGAATGTGAAGTATCATGCCCAGCTATGTGTTATTAAATTGCAACTTACGTATGGACACAATGCGCGGCAGTGACGACCCACTGATTACTGATCAAAGATCCAGCACAATAGAACCCACCAAAAAGGAGCATCTCAACCTAAGTACGAAAAAATATACATTACATCAATCATCTCCATATGTAAAATACCTTTCCAATTCCAGTTTCCCATGACTCATTTGCGGGTGAAACTGTAGCACTAATTATTTGGGTTAATAGAAGTATCATAAGTATGTAATGAACCCATCTACAATACATTAGAATAAAACAATGTAGTCAAGGACAATCCAATACAGTACAATGAAATATACAAATATACAAAGTAGTGTCACATTACATGACAGTACGATCCTTGATCAAATCAGATCCTCATTAAGAAGTCCCGTGTTCCCACATACAGTTGTTATAGCGACGAGAAGGCAACAGGATTGTAAATCTGATATGTATAATGGTTATGTGTAAGCTTACAGCAAAAGTTCAATTTTCATATATTTTAATTGGTTTAAGATTACTTTTTTAGAAATTGTATTTACTCATTGTGCATCCATTGTACACTCATTGTTCACTCATCGAAAGTCATTGAACCTAATAAAATAAATCGGATAAGAAAAATGACGATTTAAATAATTGAATTTTGCACAAATCAGATGCACTGTATTTTTACCATCGTATGATTGACAGCAACGTACCTGCCAAGGCCAGCTGTTAGCAATTGCTGGTTTTCCACCAACGATGTGAGGCATGATACCAAATGGTGCAGGAGCTGCAGTGAGCCGGACCCCACATCTCGGAGTCAACATTGATTCCTCAAAGGGGGAGATTGTGGTGGTAGGAGCGACTGTGGTGCTGGTCACTGGGGCGATGTACGTTCTGTTCCTGCTCATTACTTGACTGATCCATGGTGTTAGTTCTGTGACATTCGTGTAGACACCTGGGCGTTTGGGTAATTGACAACCGAATCCCCAACTGCTCACCCCAGTGATTGTCCATTTTTCATTTAGAGTGTCTTTACAGACAAGTGGGCCACCAGAGTCAACCTTGGCAAATAAATGTACAGACGTAATGGTTAAAAGTATTGAAGAAACGTTGATGACTTTCTCAATAGTTCATTATACTCTGCTCCAAATAAATTATATAACTTTATCTTAGAAAGAATTACCTAATAGATCTTCTAAGGGCAAGTCGTCATTTCCTCCCATATTTATTAGATGATCTGTATTGTACTGGATCCTGTTATTCCATAACTTTGGATCAGAATTATTAAGAGTTACTCAATCAATTAACTTTTTCTTTGTCTTAGTGTTCTGTATGCTTACTTGGCATGATTTATCTTGTTTCTCCTCGTAACCAGCACAAAACATACTCTCAGTGATGACCCCATCATAATAGTCAGTGTCGTTACACATATTGCCTTGAAGAATGGGGACACGAACTTGCTTCAACAGCGGATGGTTAGAATCTGAAAAGACAAACAAACAGCATATATAAGGTAATATAATGGAAACATAACACAATTTGGCTAATGGAGTAGTAACTTTATATTGGTATCAATTATTTCATTTTTTAGTATACAGAGATGTAAAGGTGAATGGCGTAACTAATATTGCACAATATTTTTTTGCTCGAAAACATACCTTTTACGTGGTCACACGATGCTTCAGCAATAACAAGTTTAATGGTTGACAATTTTTCAAAGTCATCTACAAAATAGGCGTATTTATCACTGGGTTCACTGGCGATCCCTTCCACTTGTTTTGTGTTCAGTTCTGCTGTCTTGATTCCAACAGCAAACATGGTAACTCCGTGTTTCTTTATATCGGTGGCTGCGGGAATAGGATCTCCAGTCTTGGCTGCACCATCTGTGATGACAATGGCGATATTAGCAACATCGGGACGGTCTCCATGTTGAGGTTGGAACATATCAAATAGTGTCTCAAGACCTTCCTTCGTGGCAGTGGACCCAGTATCGTAATGTATATTGGTGACTGTCTCGATCAAATCTTTCTTGGAGAATATTTCATCCAGTTGGAACTGTATCGTGACAGAACTGTGGAAGGTCAAGGCACCGACTCTGGTGTATTTGCTGCCAATGGTGAGTTCATTGATGATGCTACTGACAAAGTGTAGAGTCGTCTGGAAGTTGTCAGGACCAACACTTCCTGATGAATCGATCACAAAGATCAAGTCAGCCTTTGAACCAGTACAAGCTGTAAACATAAAAATAGTGACAATAAAAACCGGCATCAACAATATCAATAAAATATTATGAAACTAAAATGCAATATATATTACATTAATGAATCTTTTACAATGTTACATTGATACGAAAGGCATTTATTTGAGCTTTACCTTCCAGATCTCCCCAGCCAGTCGCCACACATTGGTCATCAGGGTTAATGCTTGTGTCAGGCGTTGGAAGACAGACAGCGCTGATGTGGTCAGTGAAGGCGACTGGATCAACGAGTCTAACCAATGCCATGTCGTAGCTATTAGGGAAGGCTGACTCGTAATCAGGGTGAATAACAATGTCTGTTACACCATACAAGTATTCTGTACCTTCATCCATTGCCCTATCAAACTCACCAAGGCGGACCATCCAACTCTCAGGTTTTTCAATTCTATAAAAGAAATTTGATTAATGATGTGACAGTTTATATATAAAAAGAGGTATGTGGCCATTGTGGAAATACAAATGAAATAACAATGCATGTTATTTTTCCTGTACACTTCGGGCACCTTTTTTAGAAGAACTGGAAAATTAACTCTTCTTAATTTTGGATATTCTAGTTTTAAGTACAAGAGGGACAACGTTGATTAAATTCTTTATGGGGAGCCAAACTTAACAAAATTCTTCAATGTGAATATCGTCAGACTCTCTGCTTCATTCCTAGAAAAAATATGCATTTGTGTAGGTCTCTTTGCCACCACTTCACTTCGCTCTGGAATTCTTACTTACATTTTCTTCATCCTGCTAATATTATTCCCTTTCAAGTGGCTGATAATGCAAAGTCGCTAAAAGTGTTTATGAAATCTTCAATAAATTCGATGAATAAAAAAATGAAAGTATGAACGATATATACTTTTATAGATCAATCGAAGATTTAATTATGTGAACTGCTTACTTACTCTTGTACACAATGTGCTGCTGTTAGAACCCACTCAGGGTCGACTAGGGTTGCGCTGCAATATGGATGTTCTCCATACAGCATCATTTCTGCCTGCCATGGCCAACTATGGGGAATGGCCTGCTGGTTGATGCTGCGACCAAAGAAAAATGGTTGTATGGCTGGTTCACCGTGTGGGAAACCTCTTGGAGGGGCTGTAGTCGACGCAGTCGTTGTTGTTGGTGCACTAGTTGTTGTAGGTGCATGAGTTGTGATAGTGGTTGTTGGTGCACTAGTTGTTGTTGGTGCACGAGTTGTGGTGGTTGTTGTTGGTGCACGAGTTGTGGTAGTGGTTGTAGGTGCACGAGTTGAGGTTGTTGTTGGTGCACGAGTTGTGGTGGTTGTTGTTGGTGCACGAGTAGTGGTGGTGGTTGTTGGTGCACGAGTTGGGGATGTGGTTGTTGGTGCACGAGTTGTGGTGGTTGTTGTTGGTGCACGAGTTGTCGTGGTGGTTGTAGGTGCACGGGTTGAGGTTGTTGTTGGTGCACGAGTTGTGGTGGTTGTTGTTGGTGCACGAGTTGTGGTGGTTGTTGTTGGTGCACGAGTAGTGGTGGTTGTTGTTGGTGCCCGAGTTGTCGTGGCTGTTGTTGGTGCACGAGTAGTGGTGGTTGTGGTAGGTGCACGAGTTGTGGTTGTTGGTGCCCGAGTTGTCGTGGCTGTTGTTGGTGCACGAGTAGTGGTGGTTGTTGGTGCACGAGTAGTGGTGGTTGTTGTAGGTGCACGAGTAGTGGTGGTTGTTGTTGGTGCACGAGTAGTGGTGGTTGTTGTTGGTGCACGAGTAGTGGTGGTTGTTGTAGGTGCACGGGTGGTGGTGGTTGTTGTTGGTGCACGAGTAGTGGTGGTTGTTGTAGCTGCACGAGTAGTGGTGGTTGTTGTTGGTGCACGAGTAGTGGTGGTTGTTGTTGTTGGTGCACGAGTAGTGGTGGTTGTTGTTGGTACACGAGTTGTGGTGGTTGCTGTTGGTGCACGAGTTGTAGTGGTTGTTGGTGCACTCGTTGTAGTGGTTGCTGGTATACGGGTTGTTGGGCGAGTTGTTCTTTCCGTAGTTGGTGCCACAGTTGCACTCGTTGTACTGGTGGTTGGGCGATTTGTTGTTTTGGTAGTTTGGGCCACAGTTGTACTCGTGGATGGAGCTTGAGTAGGAGCCGTAGTGTCGTCTTCGGTTGTTGGTAAAGATGTGGTACCTGAAGTAGCAGCGCGAGTTGTTGTAGTTGTGGTAGGTACAGCAGTCGTGATTGTTGTTGATGCTGTTGTTGTAGGAGGAGTACGAGAGACGGTTATTTCGCGTGGCACAACTGGGATTTTATTCGTTGGAAGTAGCACGGTTCGCTGAATCCATCTGTGGTATGTCTGTAGATCCGTGTACACCGCAGGTCTAAAGGGATCGGTACATCCCAGATGCCAACTCAGAACTCCACCAAGGAACCATCGACCATCTCTCTTGTAGAGGAGAGGAGCACCCGTTTCATCCTAAATAAGGGCAATTAAGTTCATTAAGTACAAACATTAAAATGCAGAATCTTCCAATGGGTAATGATATAGCGATTGTTAAAGTGCATACTTGAAGTGAATCGAAGCTATACGTACCACACAAGCCATTTTATTGGAGGACGATGTTCCAGCACAGAATTGATTTTTAGTCATATGTCGGAACTTGTTCATGTACAAGCACCTAGTTCTTTCTGATGTATCAACGCCTACTTGCATAAGACCAGTTCCTAAAACAGATTTTTAATAAACCTAACAAGTCTTGATGTCGGATCGGATCTCCTGTATTGATTCAGAGTCCATGGTAAAATCAGGATATTACTTTAATGTATGAATGTAGGTAACATACCTGGCAAATCTTTTCTCCATCCCAGAGTGGTGTATCTACCTCCAATTGTAAAGAAGTTGGGATGTCTGGATAAAGGCATGCATATTGGCTTCACATATCTGCTGAACCTGACTGGCCGATACAGTCTAACAAGGGCTAAGTCATTCTCTACGGGGTAGCTTTCCTTGAAGTCTGGGTGTAGAACAATATGGGTCACAGCTATATCGCCCTCTATACCATCATGATGACCAATCCTATGATCTGCCAGAACAACGTCCCATCCCCAACCATTCGGGGATCTTCAAGAGGTTAAAATAAGTAAATTAAGGATATCATGAAGCTGAAATGACTCCGATCCGCCACTCTTTTTTTTGAATTTTACTGACTTGTCTACCTTAATGTAATGTTTATATCACCTAGCATGCCTACAATTACCGTATACCTTTTAACACAGCTTCCCGATGTTACGACCCATTGTTGGTCGATAAGGGTACCCGAGCACTGGTGTTTCCCTTTTAGCTTCAGACGCACCTGCCATGGCCACGTGTTCGGCTCTGCCTCTTTTGATACTTTGGGCATTTCTCTGTGTAGATGCATCATGCGCGTCCCACATGCGTTAGGGTCAAGGGATGGTGTGGGAGGTTCTTTGATATCAGTTGTCATGTCTGGAACCTCTGGTTTCTTTTCTACTCTCTCGATATCTGGTTGTTCACGCCCTTGGTTCATTCTGTCTGCAAAATTAATTACATAATCAATGATAACAGGTGTGAGAACTTTAACACGACATGAGTCACGTTTTCAAACAAGTTCTATAATCATTAATTTTGACCCAATGTGTAAAATTAAACTTTGGGACAATTCCATTTATTAGATAAGGCGGGAATCTGATGAATCAAATGAATCTTCCGTGGGTGGTAAACTTGAACACTATTATTAAATCTATAACTTAATTGCCAAGTACCAATGTCATCACACGATCTTCTTCTGTAATGAGTGCAGCTTGGTTTTCTCTGGACTTGGTTGCATTCTGTCTTTTCTGTATGATAATAGCAGGCCCCATCCACGGAATTAAAGTCCACACCAGTACAGTCACCATCACATCGATTGATACATTCCACATTCGACAAACCAGATGTTATTTTAACCCCACCAGGTATATGAGACCCACGAAGAGTCTTTATTATTTGCTGATCACAATTGGCTAGCTTCCTGTAATGTGTGCACGAGGGTTTTCGGAGTACAGGGTTACATTCTGTAGCCATAGTATGGACGTAACAAGTGCCAACCACGGAGTTGTAGTCTACCCCCGTGCATTCACCCGAGCAGCGGTTGATACAGTCTGCTATAGATGCACCAGTGTTTACAATTACTCCACCAGGAATGTGGGTCCCACTTAGGACTTCGTTCACAGGAATTTCTAAAATGACGAATGAGAAAATGATTTCAAGAGCAGTTACTAAGCAGAAAATTTTACATTGTAGATCTGGTTATTATTGCTTATTGGAAACACCTTTCTGTTTATTACTGTCAAACAAGGAATATAATATATGTCAGTACTTTTTTCCATTTTAACTTTTTTCTCGTATTCAATAATAATAGAGAAGAGATATGGTACTTTGATTTATCAGATCTTTGTTTTCAGAACACTTTCACAAACACGGATACTGAAAACAACATCGTCATACTGTGGGTGTTTCATGAGGCCAGCCCCTTAACAAAGCAATTAGTGTCCAGTGTCAAATAATTGTCATTGTGCAGAATGGTGACGATTGTGACCGTATGATATTGTACATAATACATAACCTGAATAGAAATTATTGGAGCAACCAATATAAGACTCTTGTAAATATGTAAACTATCTTACTAAAAATGACAATATATTATGTCTAAAGTGATTTTCCATTGTTCTTATATTATGCCTGCAGGGTCACATTTGCTCCGATTCATCGGCCGGCACCCGCCCGATTGAGTATTCTGTTCAAAAATGAATACAATTGTGAACAGGATACTCAATCGGCCGGTTGACGGCCGATGCATTGGAGAAAATGTGACCCAGGCATTAGAAGGAATTGTCTATTGCAGAGGAGAGTTACTGAAAACAGAAATATACCTTATTAGCGATAGATTGTTAAATTGAAACCACATATAAGATATTACGAATCAAGTATGCTTTTAGTTTTCATGGTGGACTATAGGTGTAATCTACAGCCGCTGTACGGTTGCCGTAGATCAAATGTGACTCGGGCATTAATTCGATTTAAAAGTGGCTTGCCCATATAGCGCCAAATACTTACTGCAATCAACGAATCTATAGTGGTTGGTTGTTGCACTTGCTACTGTGGACATGTCACAAATCTCAACATCATAATGGAACCAACATGTCATGGCCCTGGTGTTAAAATCGACAGCTATACATTGTGAATCTTCTTTGCAATCCTGGAGGCAGTCATTTACATCCATGCCATGATCTCCTACTTTGAACCCTCCTTGTACAAGTCGTCCTTTCATTGTTTCTACAAAAGAGTATGCATCCTCGTGTGCACTATGGACTGGGTGACAAGACTAAATTGGATGCAATATACGGGGACGTATTGAAGGATAGGCATGCTACGAACACAGTGAATGACCCGGGAGGTGACAGACTGATATTGCTGATTGCATTTAGATGCATGTGTTCATTGTCACGTGGAAAATGACAAAATGACTAGATAGTATACATTATAATAACCCAGATGCGAGTAGAAATAATCTTGATTTACGTCATTAAAAATTCAAAATTCAGTCAAAGTAATATCATATTTGAAATCTACATCTAAAATTACATCTAGAAATGTGGTTTTAAAAAGTGTTAATCAACTTTGAAAAATTAATTTTCTTTGAAAATGTGACTTCTAGCTCGGGGAGATTCCCCATAGACCCCATGCTATAAAATCACTAAAAATGAAATATCTTTTCTTTTAGTGGACAGATAATATTTTGCTTTACTGGACATATTTTCATTAGTATAAGTATCAGACGCATAAGGGTTATATGAAAATTGAACCACTTAAGTTGATAATATTCAAGTTTAAGGGAACTTTCTTGTATACCTGCCATGTTAATTGACCCGAATCAGCCACCTGGTGGTGAAACTGGTAACTACCTACTCGCATTTGGGTAATTGTGTTCACGTTGTTGCAACGTCTAGCTGTTAGCTATAAGTCAGAATCAGATCCAGCTTTTCCAAAAATTGAATATTTTGACTTTCTATCATTCGTTTGCGATTATGTCACCCGGCTTCCATCTTCTCTGATTCTGCCCTTAAAGAGGGACATGGGGTATAAATTGGAGGCTGACAAATGGAATAGTCAAAATAACTGAATTTTTGATATTTTCACAAAGCTGGTCAATTTTCTCTCATATTGATTGAGAAAATCTATTGTCCTATTTTGCTTTGGATATCCTTCAATGTCGTTGATATTCACATTATATTATCAAGGTTTACATATAAAAACAATGTTCACTGGTGATCCACTCGATTACGCTGGTTACCGAAACGGTTCGTTTTGGTAACAAAATGTCGGAACATCGAAGGTACGATTTTTCTTCTTTCCTTATTTCACACGTTGTAGGCAGAATTCCCATGACATTTTTATCACAAACGTATAACAGTATCATATGTTTAAGAAAATATACATATTTGCGAACACATAGTTCACAAGACAACAGAATCGTCGATTTAATTCCTCACTTAAGTTACAGAAACGGCTTTTCGAAAAACAGTTAAGATCTGCACTTTTAGCAAATACCGTTTATGTAACTTAAGTGAGGAATTAAATCGACAATTCTGTTGTCTTCTGAGCTATTTTTCAGAAACAAGTGAATTTTCTAAAACATATGATACCGATAGACGTTCGTGAAAATAAATGTCGTTGGGATTCTACCTACAACGCGTGAAATGAGAAAAAAGAAAAAATCGTACCTTCGACGTTCCGACATTTTGTTACCAAAACGAATCGTTCCGGTAACCAGCGTAATCGAGTGGATCACCAGTGGTGTTGCAATAACTTGAATAGATTTATGTTGAATAGATTTATCTTACATGGCAGCTACAGGGTAACACAAAAACACCACCCAATAATTTTGGAATAACTTTCCCAATAATTAATGAATCTTCATGATTTTTATGAGTAGATAGAGTGTTCAATGGAAGAAAGATTACATAGCATCAACTGCTTGGAAATTAAGAGATATATCATTTTCCCTGTCGGTATGCTCTGGCACAAAATCACCCATTACTGTAAAGTAAATTGACATACTTTTTATTATAAGTAGTGGAAGCAATCCAGACAATGGCAAAGACAGAAGTCCCGTTTTCAGAAAATTGTTACTTTGATCATTTTTTATGATTTCACCGAGAGCATGCCTGGACTGAAAACGTGATATCTCTAAATCTGAAAGTTGTTGATGCTATCAAATTACAATAATCTTTTTCCATTGAACAAAAACATAGATTCCTTGATTATTCAGAAAGTTATTCCAAAATTAGTGAGTGGTTTTTCTGTGTCAACCTGTACACTATTATTTTACCTACCTTTCAATTTAGGTTCGTAGTTGTATTCTCTACGCGCTTCGTGTTTCTCAAGTTCCTTTGGTGCCATGATGTCATCTTAATGTAGCACATACACATTACTTATGTTGCATTACTCTATCAGTTCATATACATTCAGAAACGAATTATTTGCCATTAAATATGACGACTGTTCTCGTTATTTCGGATATTTAGTTACAATTAAATAAACATCTATAACTTTTACATCAACATTATAACAATAAATCATTTTCGACTCATCAATAATACTTTACCTATGACTGGGGGCTTGGTTGGAGCTCTAGTAGGCGAAACTGTGAACATTGGAACATTTCCGAGTCCGATACCATCCCTCAATGATAGCCTATTAATAGAGAGGTGGGGAGGATGAGCTGTAGGGTGACCATATATAGCATCGTCGAGTGGTCTTTGCCCAATGGCAAGCTCAGTTTGTTGGATCCCAGGTGGGCCTTGTTGTTTCTCTGCCAGTGGTCCCACTTGGAGTGATTCTTGTGGTCCAGATTGGAAAGAACTGGGAGATCCTTGAAGTGGAAGGGCGGGTGGTCCAGATTGGAAAGAACTGGGAGATCCTTGTAGTGGAAGGGCGGGTGGTCCAGATTGGAAAGAACTAGGAGAACCTTGTAGCGGAAGGGCGGGTGGTCCAGATTGGAAAGAACTAGGAGAACCTTGTAGCGGAAGGGCGGGTGGCCCAGATTGGAAAGAATCTGGAAGTTCAGGCTGAAACTGAACAGCGGGTGGTACGGATTGGAAAGAAACGGAAGGTTCAGGTTCCGGTTCCGGTTGAACAGCAGGTAGTACAAATTCGAAAAAACTTGGAGATCCTTTCAGTGGAACGGCGGGTGGTCCGGATAGGAAAGAATCTGGAATTCCAGGCTGAAGTGCAACAGCTGGGGGTCCGGATGGTAAAGAATCGGAAAATCCAGGCTGCAGTGGAACCCCGGGCAGTCCAGATTGGACAGAACTTGGAGACCCTTGTTGCGGAACAGCAGGTGGTCCAGATTGGAAAGAATCTGGAAGTCCTTGTTGAAGTGGAACAGCGGGTGGTCCAGATTGGAAAGAATCTGGAAGTTCTTGCTGAAGTGGAACAGCGGGTGGTCCAGATTGGAAAGAATCTGGAAGTTCTTGCTGAAGTGGAACAGCAGGTGGTCCGGATCGGAAAGAATCTGGAAGTTCTTGCTGAAGTGGAACAGCGGGTGGTCCAGATTGGAAAGAACTAGGAGAACCTTGTAGCGGAAGTGCGGGTGGTCCAGATTGGAAAGAACTAGGAGAACCTTGTAGCGGAAGGGAGGGTGGTCCAGATTGGAAAGAATCTGGAAGTCCTTGTTGCAGTGGAACAGCAGGTGGTCCGGATTGGAAAGAATCTGGAAGTCCAGACTGAAGCTGAACAGCGGGTGGTCCGGATTGGAAAGAACCGGAAGATTCAGGTTCCGGTTGAACAGCGGGTGGTACAAATTTGAGAAAGCCTTGCAGTGGAATGGCGGATGGCCCCGGTTGCTGATTCAATTCGAATTGAGAATTAGGTTCAGGTTCAGGTTCAGGACTAGGTGATCCCTGTTCTCGGACTGCGGTTGGTTTGGATTTAACTGAATCAGTCTTTTTGTTGCCGATGCCCATGAGTCGCTTGATAGCTTGTCCAAAATTTGTTCCAAAAAGCTGGTCAAGAATATTGTCAGATGCCGGTGGTGTTGGTGTTGGGGCAGGTGTTGGTGAAGTTAGACGACCCATAATTTTGTTGAAAATCTCAAATGAAGCAAATGATTTCTGCCCAGGAGCTGGTTTAGCAGGTCTTTTCTCTGGAACGTTGTGAACGTTTTGCTTTTTTGGTCGACTAGATTTCCTAGGTGGAGCCGTGCGTCCCTTCCTGTTTGACCAGTGTGAGAAGAAGTTTGCGCTGTTAGTAACTTGCAACAAGAAAGGCAAAGGTTTTGCAGTTGTCGTTGTAGTGGTAGGGGGATCTTTCGTAAACCTACTCTGGAAAAACGCATAAGCTGGGTTCCTTTGTTTATTCGCCTGCATTTTCTGAAGCTGTTTTAGACGGTATTGATACTCTTCTTCAACGCTTTTGCTATTCACTTGATCAACTCTGTGTTGTTGCGCGAGACTTGGACCAGTATATCGGACAGGGTTGGGCTTTGCTCTCATGACTACTTTCGGTGGGACAGCAGTTGCGCGCTTTGGTTTTTGAGTTGGGTTGACAATACGGGGGTTATTTGTTTGACGTCTATAAGGTATTGGACTTTGCCTTAGTGGACGGATTGTATTTGCGTAATTCATGGCAGACTGACGGGGTGGCTTATATGTAGGGTTAGCGCCATTTATAACAGACTGTCGAGGGGGTACATGCGTTGGGTTTGCTATATTTATAACAGGCTGTCGAGGAGGTCCGTGTGTAGGGTTCGCTACATGTATAACAGGCTGACGGGGTGGTATATATGTGGGGCGAGCCATTGGTCCAGGTGTTTGTTGATGGTGAACTGCACTGTTAGCACTATTAGTTATCACAGATTCAGCCCTTTTCTTCGCTAGTAGGGCAAGAAGACCACCAAAGCTCGGTGACGGAGTGGATGCTTTGACCAGAGCTGGAACCTTCTTCGCCTCTAGAGACCCCCGTGATGCTGAAATAGGATCAACATGTTTTTAACTTTCATTCAAGGACAGTATGCTTGTTACAATAAAATCAAATGTAGAAAAACTGATTCAGGAAAATCTGCTTTTTCGGAGACTATTTCGAGATCTAATTTGTGATAAGAAAAATCAGTAATGACCTGAGTCCACGAATCATAAAACTTTTTTCAATGTTCCAAAGGACTCGGATTCACAAGTTACACAAGCTCATTAAATATGTTCATGAACATGACGATTTTTTCTACGTAGAGTTATGATTTGAATCAATGATAGAATAACAATATATTTCTACGAGTTCCTACTATTATTGTTTCACATGAAATTATTTTATTACATTTATCTATTGCAACTTATTTCCATGATGGTTTTGATTACATGAACTGATTTTATAAACTATGGCTAGAGGCAATGCACCTTACCCAGCTATCACCATACCTTGATTGATGAGTTATTTTTGATCAATGATGCGTTTTGAGTGCAGATTGCAATTGGTTTCAATTAAATGATACAATTCATTCATTTTTTATTTAAAAAAGAGAGACGGGACCAACATAGTAATATTCGCGCCCCCTTTGTCTTGATCTTTCCAGAGTCTCTCAAAAACGACAGAAGGGGTCTCGTAAACTAGAATGGGGATCATAATGCATGGGGACCATAACTCTTTATACCGCTCATAGGCTCTTACCTGCAGCTGTACATTCTGAGTTCCGATCAGTACAAGGGGCTGCTCCCTTCCCATGATAATTCTGGGGAATGGCAAATCCATCGGGGCACCAATTGATGATTGGCGCTAACATGCGTTTCCCTGCGATGATAACATTTCCTATCGGGCGACACTCGTAGTAGCAACAGCGATTGTGTGTGTCGGGAACATTCTCAAAGGCATTGCGACATGCTGGAATATACCATATAATTTATAGGGGTCTTTCACCTCTCATATCCAGAGATATTCCCGATCTTGAACTAACTGTACCCCGGAACTGTACCATGCAACAACAACTCTATGGTTTTTTTATCATATAATCACCTTACTCTAACTAGTTGCCTAACCTAACAGTTCATGAACCAAGATGTTGGATGTAAGAGTACGACATTTCATGTATTGTTTTTATTTTCTAATTCATGGCCAGTCGACATCTAAATCAAATTAAATATTTAAACAAAAGTGTTGATGAAAAATTGAAAAAAAAACTAATTTTAATAGGAGCAGAGTAAGCACTTGTTTCTAAAACTATTGTAATACATTTTTGAAACTACTACAAATATTAGAAAACCTTGAACGATATATTCAGATCTTCTCCATCTGTCTTCGTTGTACTTTTGTTTAGCAGTTTACATCATACTTGGGAATTCTAATTGTGTTCCTTGTAGATCACTGACCGAAAATGATTGTTTATGTCACTTAATCTATTATTTTTACAATCTGGTATATCTGAGTGACCACAGTTCTTAGATCTTATACTTACATCTCAGAGGCGCTGTGGATCCATGCTGAAACACCCCGATAAGAAGTATACATATCAAATACATCTTTCTTTTGATTTCAATTGTAATAGTTTTTGCTATATAATCCACATTTCGTTTTTTATCTATTATAGAATATGTACATCCATTTTGCTTTTCGTAACACCAGAAAAGAACGTATGCAAATAGGCAGGAAATGTATTAAATTCGTTGATTGATTGCGTCATGTAATTAATTACATATTGGCCAGGTACAATTGCGATAACTGTATCACATACGTATATTCGAGAATCTGAAAAAACATTGAGCCTCGGGCAATTTCAAATTTCAAAATGAATTGTGTAATCGGTGACTGTAGTCTAAATCACGAAGTATATGATTTTTAATTATTCAATATATACAGTTAACCTGTACATCCAAAAATCCTCACCTATCCGTACAACTCTCAATGTAAACATTTTTTCTAGGTCCCAGTTTTGTTCCAAATTTCCCATTGTCTCCCATATTAAAAAACGTTGAAATGTGAACACCTGCTAATCTGAACAATTTGGCCGGTCCCAATGGTGTTCGGATAAGACGGGTTTCACTACACAGTTTGCTGTTTTTTCAGCATGAAGAAAAATATTCATAGGAAAAATGAATTCATCAATTGGTTCACATATTCAATGTGAGTGAAGAATCTATAAAAAAAAATAAAATATTTGGGCCCAAAAATTTTGTATGGCCTCAATTAGTGGGACTTTTTGGGCCTTTTTGGGCTTCTTAGGCCTAGGCCAAATTACCAAAAGTGGGCCTTTTATTTTCAAAATTTGGCCCAATTTTGGGATTTAGGGGCCCACAATTTTTTCTGTTTTTAAATTTGCCACTTCCAGTACGATACTATCTAGCTGATGTTATAAACCGTATGGGGCTGATGATTGTCAGTCTCTACCAATAGACATGGCATCCTTAGTTCATCGCTGGGTTTACCCCAAGCCCAAATAAGTGAAGAAGTTCACCAATATATATCATGAACCAAAGCGACGAATCGTACAAATTCTACCGTGACTACAATTATTTCACAAGTACTGTAGGAACCGTTGTAAAAGGGTAGAAGGCCCTATCAAATTATGGTCCTATTCTTCATTGATTTATATGGTGACCTCTTTCCCTTATTATCTTTTACACAATCAGGGCCAGAGAGGGCTGTTAAGAAAGGGGACCATAATCCCTGGGGGACCATAATTTCTTTAACACCGTCATAAGATCATCGTGTGTCACTGTATGATTTTACAATCAAGTGCAATGCTCTTGATATAATTCTTCATAAACGTTTCAATAAATAAACCACAAACAAAGGTCTGGACATTATTTAGCTTAGCACTAAGCGGAATCATTTCTTTTGGACCGATTTGTCCTTTTCTATCCATAAATAAAGAAATAATGGTGCCAGTTTTATGGTTCTGGATATGCAGTTTTCCAGCCTGACCATTGCAAATAAATTACTACCTTTGCGACGGATACTCCCACCATTTTAAAAATGGTCATTTGTCACTTTGTCTTTAGGGGGGCCAATAATGGTATGTAGCCTCGGCCCCTCACAATCTATGTAAATAATTATGTTGAATTATATAGAAATAAATAACAATAACCTATAATAGTACAACTAGTTTGATGGTGTGGCAGAATCTGCAAATGAAATGGTAAAAATTGGATGCCCTAAATTGGGCACTACTACTCTCACCATAATTCGAGTGGGTTGGTGCTGAAAATGAAAAGATGTCAACATGATGTAAACATATGATGATTACATTGGTTGATTAGATATAATGAATGAATCTTAAAGATAGTAACGTACGCATGTCTTCATGGTCAGAAACTAATCACAATCAATATACAGTATATGACAGTCTGGAATCATTTGGCTTACAATTTTTGGGTTCTTTATTAAAATCCATGTGATTCCATCCGTATATTAGAACACGATCAGTTTGTTCACAGCTACTGAAGATGATATTTAAGGACTTGGGAAAATAATCTCACCGATTGTCTAATGCAAATATAATGTTACTTTAGTGGATGGAGTGGCTTTATTACGATTACTGGTAATTTTCTATTGAATTTGGAAGGTGTAAGATCATATTAAATAACTGACAGTATAATATTTCCTGTTACATTTATCTATGGGCGATATAAATATTATATTACACCACATATGTACAGCAATATTGTATGTGATTAGAGCTATTTTGAAGTAGAATCTATTCTTGAATGATTTTCTATTTCTGATGTCTCTATTATAACCAGAACAACGGCAACGCCAAAGCGTAGCGAATCCCATCGAACAGAAATGGCTGGCATTTTTACAAACGAAATACACAGCAAATATCATAAAAACACACCAGAAAGGCCACCATTTCAAAATGGTTGCTCACTAGCCAAGTTGTCATCAGAAGAAATAATATGCTTTTAAGTAGCCACCTATAAAATTTTTGAAAAATCGCACACATGTACTTGTAAAATAACACACATAAAAATGGTGGCCATTTTTCAAAATGGCCGACTACACCCCAAAGTTTTATTAGACAATGTGCCATGCTTAGAGTATTCACATATCAAATATGAACAAAATCGCTCCACTACTTTTCAAGTTATAGTAAAAAATGTAAAAATGACAGCCATTTTTTAAAATGGCCGCCTACTATCTGAAGTATCATGAGACAGTGTGCAATGCTCGTAAGTATTCACATATCAAATATGAACAAAATCGCTTCACTACTTTTCAAGTTATAGTAAAAGACGTAAAAATGGTGGCCATTTTTCAAAATGGCCGCCTACTACCTAAAGTGTCATTAGACAGTGTGCCATGCTTTTAGTATTCACATACCAAATATAAACAAAATCGCTCCATTACTTTTCGAGTTATAGTAAAATACGTTAAAAAGGCGGCCATTTTTCAAAATGGCCACCTTCTACCAAAAGTGTCATAGGACAGTGTGTCATGCTTACCAAATATGAACAAAATCGCTCCAATACTTTTCGAGTTATAGTAAAATACGTTAAAATGGCGGCCATTTTTCAAAAAAAAATTTCAAAATGGCCGCCTTGTACCAGAAGTGTCATAGGACAGTGTGCCATGCTTATAGTATTCACATACCAAATATGAACAAAATCGCTCCACTACTTTTCGAGTTATAGTAAAATACATTAAAATGGCGACTATTTTTCAAAATTCTTTTTCAAAATGGCCACCTTGTACCAAAAGTGTCATAGGACAGTGTGCCATGCTTATAGTATTCACATACCAAATATGAACAAAATCGAGTTATAGTAAAATACGTTAAAATGGCGGCCATTTTTCAAAATGGTCGCCTTCTACCAAAAGTGTCTTTAGACAGTGATCAATGTTTATAGTATTCACATACCAAATATGAACAAAATCGCTCCAATACTTTTCGAGTTACAGCAAAAATCGTAAAATAACGAGTAAAGGCCGCCATTTTTCAAGATGGCTGCCATGTGCTTTTTTAATATCTACATTTGTAGCTTTATTAATGTCCTTTATAATTTTTTTACACTAAAAACATATTGCTATTACAGTTTTACATATTGCACCTAAATTACTGTAAAATCGGCACTAAAATGGCCGCCATTTTGAAATGAGCGGCCATTTTGAAAATCAGCTTTCGAGCAGAACTCCTACCCCCATAGGGTATATGTGTACAAAATATGAACAAAATCGGGCCAACGGTATTTGAGTTATTGCCCAGACGGACGGACGGACGGACGGACAGACGGACGGACGGACGGAGGCGTTCCCTATATCCCTCCGAACTTCGTTCGATGGGATAATAATCAGATAATAGATTTCAGTGGGAGGAGGCGGCCAAGCCCTCATCTCACGAGTTATTCAGACATTCTTTATACGAATTAATGTTCAAAGCTTCTGCCAAAGGATTGCATGAGACCCCAAATGCATGGAAGGTCGGAAATTTGACATGTAGTTTTGCCCCAGGGGTGGGATTTTAACATAGAACTCTGTGCCAGGAATATGGATTTTTGAAATTTTACCATCTATTAGAGCTGCCAGGTTGGGGTATATTGACAGCTCAATTTTTAGTAAAAATCCCACCACGTACCTTTGAGAGGTTCATAACATGATAAATCTGTGCCTTATTATTTCAGCCTTTGCCCTATGCAAGTTTAGTTTAAACATAAAAAGAAAATACAAAGAAATATTTTTAAATTCATCAATAGTTATTTATTTTTGAACTCAACTTTATACTTAAATACATTAAAATTCTAGTTATTTCATTCGCTTTTCTTTTTCTTTTTTCTTTTTGATATGTTTTGGTATTTTCACTTTCCTCTTCTCTCTCTGGGCTTCCTTTACTGCACGTTTTCTCTCCTAAAATAACAGAACATAATATGTACAATCTTTAGCAATTCTTTCATATAATTTACATGTAAATTTTATGTACAACTGGGTATTATTTTGAATGATGGTGCATAATTACAAGTATAAACATATTATGTACAAATACAGTTTGTCAAAATATTCACAATATCAAGAATGGTGATTTATTTCTAATAAAAACTGCATGGATCTCGAAGAATTAGTTTGCTAAGCATTTTATTTATCTGTTCTACCCTGTATATTATATGATACAAAAATCATTTAACTATGTTGTATGTTGTAGATCCAGACAAATACATGAACACAATGGCCTTATCTAAATTGTTGACACAACCGCCAGGTCCTTCAAAAGCATAATTCCTTATATTTGAGGGGGGGGGGGTAAAATGTAATTTCCTTTTAAGGCCACATCAAGTTTTAGATATTAGCATGTTTGAATTTCATGCTTTTATATTATTATGGTTTGTTATGTGGTGTATCAGAGTGGCAACTTTTTTGATGCTTGAGAAGATCTCTTACCTTTTTGCTATTTGGAGACTCATCCCTTGGCCTATGGGTATTAATAGAATGTTCCTTATTGCCATGGTTACTATCAACTGAACTAGTGTCATTATCTGAAGCATCATCTTCATTGTTCTCTATATCACTATGTACATTATGTGAACTTGTTGTTTGTTTATCATTTTCTAATAGTAAAGGCTGTTCCTGGGGTCCACTTAGATCTGGTTTCATCCCTGTCACTGTCTGGTATACAATCTGAAATACAACATTTTATTTTCATGTCACATTTTGTTACTGGGTATATGTATGTGGTATAATACGAGTA